GATAACTAGTCAGTGTGTGACTGACTTTTCAGAACTAAATTCTGGTGTTACCAACATTTATATACAACGTTTTAATGGTCATTTCAATGCAGCTGTTACAAGTTCCAGTTCGTATCACAAAATTGATTCTCTTTTGTTTATTTGCAGACTTTTTTTCTTAATGTCTTCTCCCTGGTGCTTCTTTGCAGGAAGGCAAAGCCTCAGCCATCCTGCCTGCTGGCAGAAAGCACCCCAATGTATGACAGCACAGAACCTCGTCAGAAAGCTCTGTACCCAAATGATGTATTCAGCAGCCCTACAGGCCCTCCACAGCTAGCACAGTGACTTAAAATTTCTGCACCTGTGTTGGTCTCTTGGCAATATAACACCTTCAGGAAAGAAAGTAAAATGGGAAGATTAAGGTAGGGATTTATTGGGCAGTTTCCTCTTTACTGCCAAAGTCCAGCTTGCACCTGGAGAACCAAGGGGGAATTGTCCTGATTGTAACTCTTCTCTTCCGTTTGTCCTTTGAGCATAATAAAATTTGCTTTATAGCTCTAGCTTAGCACTCCTTGAATACAAGCACACATCAATGTTTGCCTTGGTTTCCCAACATTCACCTGTGTTGGCACTGAGGCAGATTTACACAAATAAACTTCTATTTGCAGACAGTGCACTGATGATGATCTATAGAGACTCAAGCTGCCTTAGGGAGAAACAAAGGACACAGAAAATCTGATAGGCATATGGGGAACTCCACCCAGCAGTCTGGGGGAATCCCTGATTCTTAGAATCACTTGGGTTGGATACATCCTTTCTTCGAGTCCACCTGCAAACCTGACGCTGCCAAGTCCACGAAGAGAAGAGGTGGGATGACCAAGGATCCTTCTCCAGGTGCTCTCAACAGCGCGGCTGTAAAGATAAGGGTTAACTTGTGCCACGTTTCCCTTCTGCTGCTGCAACCATTGCATCCTGGACCTACACAGCCTCCCGCGGAGCGGGCAGCTTCCTCCTGCGGCGGCACCAGCGCTGCTGCGAGCACAGCTGGGCAGCACTTTGCAAGTGCCGCGCGCAGACTGCTACGGCCCGCGTGCGGCTCGCTTTTACTACCATTTAAGCACAATTTAAGTAAAATTTAAGCACAATTTGCTGTTTAGTCACGGCAGAAATGGGGGAGCGGCGTGGGAAGGGGTCAGCAGCAGCGGGCGCGGGCCGCTGGGAGCAGCGCCCTCCCCGCCGCCCAGCACGGCACCGGCACCGGCCGCGCGCGGGAAACGCCGGCCCGCGCGCCCCGGCCCCGCCCCCCGCCTCGCCCCCGGCCAATGAGCGCACCCAGCGGGGAGGGGGGCGGGACCGCTGTGGTGACGTCACGGCACGTGACGCGCGGGAAAAGCCGCCTCCCGGGGGAGCGGCGGGGTCACGTGGGGGAGCAGCGCCCGCGCTGCCGCGCCGCGGACCGTTCCATTACCCGCCCGATGGGGGGGGCAGGAGGCATTAAGTGCAATTTAAGCGCAACTTAAACACAATTCGCTGTTTAGTCACGGCAGAAATGGGGGAGCGGCGTGGGAAGGGGTCAGCAGCAGCGGGCGCGGGCCGCTGGGAGCAGCGCCCTCCCCGCCGCCCAGCACGGCACCGGCACCGGCCGCGCGCGGGAAACGCCAGCCCGCGCGCCCCGGCCCCGCCCCCCGCCTCGCCCCCGGCCAATGAGCGCACCCAGCGGGGAGGGGGGCGGGACCGCTGTGGTGACGTCACGGCACGTGACGCGCGGGAAAAGCCGCCTCCCGGGGGAGCGGCGGGGTCACGTGGGGGAGCAGCGCCCGCGCTGCCGCGCCGCGGACCGTTCCATTACCCGCCCGATGGGGGGGGCAGGAGGCAGGCGGGCGGAACCACAGCGCGGGCAGGGGGCGGGGCCAGCTCGGGGCGCTCCCGTGACGTGAGGCGGGGCGGCGGCGCGCGGCGGCAGCGGGAGCGGAGCGCGGCAGGGAAGCGAAGGGAAGGAAAGGAAGTGCCGAGCAGGAGCGGGAGCCGCAGCCCCCTCGTTCCACCGCATCGCCACCATGGGCCGGACGCTTACCACATTTACGTTCCCGCTCGCCGTCGTTTCCGTGGCGTGCTGCCTCGGCGGGCTGGCCGCGGTGGCAGCGGCGGCGAACGGTGAGTGACCCGTGCCCTCCCCCTCCTCTCCCCGCGGAGCTGCTGACGGGGCAGCCCCGCCCCGCCCGCCGCTGTGGGCAGCGAGGCGCGCCCCGAGCCCCGCGCGCTGTCCGCCTGGGCTCTCCGGCCGCCGGAGCCTCGGAAGCCTCGGGAACCCCCGGGCCCGCCCTGCGCTCCCCCGGCCGCCGCCCGCCGGGCTTTGGAGCCGCTCTCCTGCTTGTGCCGGTCTGGGACCCGTTGTCCTGTGCTGTCCCCCCTTGGAGGAGGGAGCTGGTGCCGGGGAACCGTGCGGCTCAGAACCTCGGAACGGGTCTGGGAGCGGCGGTGCCTGGGCGCAGCCGCGTCCTCCTGGCCCCGCTGCCGCGTGTTCCTTATCCCGGTGTGAGCCCCGCTACTCGCCCGCGGGTTTGCCCCGCTGCCCGGGCCCTGGGGGCTGCTGGCCGCAGTGTTGGACCGCGAAACGTGACGCGAGCCCCAAAACGCGGGGACGGCAACAAAACCAGACAAAACAAAAAGTTTTGTCTGGAGGCGCTTCGCTGTTGCCTGGCCGCGCTCCGCAGCGGCGCTGGCTGCTCCACCCCTCCGGGATCTCCGGTAGCCGGGGCCGCTCCGCCGGGGCTTGGCAGCCGCTGCGCCGGGACGGGAGAGGGCACTGTTGGGCCGGCTGGCCAGACCCATCCAGTGGTTCCTGGTTTCCTCCTGCAGCGTGAGGGGAGTATCCGAGTTTACCCTGTGCGAGAGCCAGTACAGCGGGTTTATCTTGGGAGCAAACGTCATCTTGGCTGGGCTGAAAAGCTGAGTTCGTGGTATTAGAGCCTTTTTTTTTTTTTCCTTCAGTGAAGAGCAGGCTTTTGCTGATAGGGAGAGTTGGGGAACTTGCTGGTATCCCATGTAAAAGACCCCACAGAGCCTTTCACAGCAGGAGGTGCCATTGGAATAACGTCTGAGACCCTGCCACAGACTCTGAAATTAACAGCTCGTTGAGAAAAACATCTCCTCATCCTTTACTCTTGCAAATCTGATCTTTCCCATGTTAGTCCAGGAAGGCTGTTCTTGAGACTAAATTAGAAGTCCTAGTGTACCTGGTATGAGTTGGCTCTACCAGCTGTCTGCCTGTCTTAACAGATGTGCTGTGCTAAATTTTCCACATACTAGTGAGGAATCTGCAAAGTTGAAGGTTACTCATTTGTCAGAGGCCTCTGTGTGTGCTGTGATCGTTCCTCAGATGTATCTCCATCATAATTGACTGTTTTTTTTCCCCCCCTGGAATCTGTTATCGAGAAACAGTAATAAAGCTCTTGAAATGCTGTGAGTGCTGCCTTCCTGAAGGGAATAGGGCAGCTCTTGCACACCTCACTGATGCAAACCCACAAAGGTCTTTTCATATCTCCTTGTGTGAAAGGAAAGAAATAGTGCCAGCCTTTCTGACCTGATCCTGCCACAACCAAGAGAAAGGCCCTGTGGATTCAGGCTTACTTCAGATTGTCAGAATACTGAAGTTAGTTAATGTACTTGTAGTTGTTATTTGAGAGGTAAATGAGCGTGCTGCCTGCCAAAGATCTGTGGATAGCAGCATTCCTTTCGTGGAGAAAAGTGAAAGGTCATCCCTAGGTGCCTGGAGTGGGTGGATATGATGTGAAATGTGCTGGAGAGCATGCAGCAGAAGGAGTTGTGGGTTGTATGTGGGTTTGCTGAGTATGATGGCTGTGTGAGTAAGTCTCAATTAAAACCTATGTGGTAAAACTGTAGATTATGGGAAGATCTTACTTGATCCAGTTAGTGGATGTGTCGTTGTGTTTTTAAGGTAACAGTGTTTGACCTGAGATTGGCATAAAAAAGCAGCTGGACTGGTTAGATTGCTGGCTTCTGCTGTGATCAAATACAAATACATTGACTTTTTTTCTGCTCTCCTTTTTATGCATGTGTGCATGCATTTCTCCAGGTCTTGTCTTTATTTCCCATACCTTGATTGCTTTCTACTGCATTTATAGCTGGCTGCTTTACCTAAAGCTCAGGCTCAGTCACAGCAGTGCTCTATACCCAGTGCTCTCCTGTGTAAAGCACGCACAGTTTCTGTTTGGACAGTAGGGTTCTTCTCACTCTGGTTTGCTCTGAGGAATCTGGAGTTGCCAGTTGAACGCTGGCTCGATTGGGCTGCCTGTGACAAGATTTTTCACATATTTAACATATTTACTCATGCAACTTTTGATGTTAGTATGGTGGATTCAAAAGCTCTGTAATTTCAAACTGAAACTACAGTAGAACTCAGTGCCGTATGAAATTCCTAAAGCTATGCCTGCTGATGTTGTTTTGTTGGGTTGTTTTTTAGTTCAGTACTGTCATTAATCTCTCTAATGTAACTTTATTTTTTCATAGGTACCACAGTTTCTCCTCCTACCAGTGTTACTGCATCCAATGTCACTGTAGCACCTACTTCCAATGCCACTGTAACACCCACCAATGCCACCACGGCGTCTTCCAACGCCACCACAGCATCTTCCAACGCGACCACGGCGTCTTCCAACGCTACCACAGCCAGTTCTCCCACCACACCTCATACTCCTATAGGTAATACAGAGGCACTGAACTCACAATGGCAGGAAACTAGGAACTGGTGAATAACACAAAAGATGGGCTTCTTCCAAAGGTCACTGTAGTAGCTTGGCTACTAAAAATCTGATGTGCAGAATGCATAAAAGGTTCCAAGGTTTGGAAGAAGCGGATTTTAGAAAACTCTTAGTTGTGTTGGCAGGAAGCATTTTCTGTGTTGAAAATTGGCTCAGTGGCAGTTGAATTAGTAATTGCCATGAATTATGAATTCTAAGGAGTTAGAGGTTTTTTGTTTGGGGTTTTTTTTGTTTTGTTGGTTTTTTTTTTGTTTTGTTGGTGTGGTTTTTTTTGTTTTGGGTTGTTTTTTTTTCCAAAAATTTCTCTGCCATCTCTCTACATCTCTGCCATCTCTTTTATAAAAAGTCACCTAATCTTTAAAAACTTGCGAATTATGAATTCTAAGGAGTTTGAGGTTTTTTTGTTTGGTTGGTTTTTTTTTTTTTTGTTTTGTTGGTGTGGTTTTTTTTGTTTTGGGTTGTTTTTTTTTCCAAAAATTTCTCTGCCATCTCTCTACATCTCTGCCATCTCTTTTATAAAAAGTCACCTAATCTTTAAAAACTTGCTGATCAAGGGTGCTGGGAGGTAACAAGTTGGTGCTTGATTAGGCTCAGAACAGCCTGATGTTCCAACATCCTACATCCACAGTAGGATGGTTAGCTTTGAGTAAACCCACAGATGTTGACACTTGTCCCAGGCACATAGTGGAATACTCATAAATTTTTAGTAATAGTAATCATTATGGGAGGGGGAGAGGTCAGGGACCCAGCTTATGTGGCTTGATTATGAAAGTTTTTAGGAGACAGGTTCATTTTAGGTGGGTGATTTTATTCCAGTCATGGCATTCACACTTAGTGTTTTGAGGACAGGAGAAGAAAGCGTGTGTATCTCCTGCCTAGAGATATTAGATTAGGTACTTTTAAAATACAATTAATACTAACTGAGTCTAATGAAAGTTTAATGAAAGTCTTTTGCCTTGATGCAGATTCTCACTTGTCTTGAAGCAGATCTCTTGATTGTTGTTCAAATACCAGCATTTATAGGGGTGCTTGAAAAAAAAGTCATTTTGTCCGAACAAAGAATCACTGATCTGTGGAGAACCTTGAAGCATTTGGGTAACAGTAGTATGCAAGTTTGAAAATAATCCTTGTTGCAGAACCTTGGCTTAATGCCATGCAGTTCACCACCTAAATTGTGTGAGATGCAGACTGAGGGCAAAGGTTATCCTTGTTAAAGCAAAACAGGAAAAATCATTTGTATAGGAACGTCAGTGCTCGCAAACTTTGCCGAGGAGTTTATGGTGTGTATGTACTGTCTTCTCTCAAACAGCCAACGTCACCAATGCAACTACTCATGCTCCTCCACCGAAAACCACCGTGACTCCAGCCACCTCGACAACCACGACTGCAGGTAACTCTACACCTGCCATAATCAAAGCTGGAATTACTCAGAAATCGGCTCTCAAAGGGTTATCTTGAAAGACTCACCAAGTGACACCATTAAAGTAGTATTGGTGTATCTGGTATTGTCACTTCTAATTTTATGGCAAGATTAATTTTGTTAAGGTGATCTATGCAAGTAGCAAGGTTATATAGCCTGAGAAATACAGGTAATTGGTGAGATATAAAAAGTCAGAAACATGTTGGTCAAATGAGATTAGCTGGATGATTTTAATAGTGTGTTTGGAAGTCCCTTGTTAACTCCCCTGTCTTTGGGAGGTGATGCTTTGCTTTTGCAGCATAATAATGGGATGCTTGTTTTTTGTTTTTGTTAAAGGAAATTGCTCTACGGTGATGGGATTAAGCTGAAGTATTTTATTTCCAAGTCAGTCCTAAATCTGCCATGTCATGAAAAAGTCTCACAAAGCAAAGCTCTTTAAAACTACCCATCAACAGATGGCTGTTATTTCCAGCTTTGTATTTGTGACTTCAGCTGTTTTTTTAAGCCTAACTCTTGGGGTGAAGTACAGTAGATGGAAGATAACAATTTATCTTAAATTTAAGAAAAAAATAAAACTGGAGTAAGGAGCAACGACTGGAAAATATGTCTTGAATGTGGGCATATCAATAATATATTCTATGTAGAGGAGGAAGGCTTTGGTTTTTTGAAGTACAAATCAAGTCCAGCTGGGTATTGCTCAGTTTTGAGGTCCCGAGCAGTTTGTCTATAAATAGCTCTAGCCTTGAACAAACAACATTTAATCAGAATTTCAGTACCAGTAATCTAAATTCAGATGCTGGCATGGCTTCACTTTTGATTATTTTTTGTTTTCTTATTGGCATTTTGATTTTTTGACCAATCCTAATAGAAAGAATCCAGCACTAAAATCTGTAGAGCCGTTGTGAGCATTGTGCACTTACAGTTTCTAATTTGGTGTTTAACAGGTTCAAATACTACTGAGACTCCTGTACCTGTTCCACGCAAATCTACGTTTGATGCTGCGAGTTTCATTGGTGGAATTGTCCTTGTTCTGGGTCTGCAGGCTGTTATTTTCTTTCTGTACAAATTCTGCAGATCTAAAGACCGAAATTACCACACGCTTTAGGACCTGCCCCTTGGTAATGGACTAGTAGCACAACACCTGTAGTTCACTGAACCAAAATATTTTCTGTTGCTCGTGGAAGACAGCAGTTCATAATATCCTTTAAATCTCTAAAAGAAGACTTCAAATGAATATTTTTGCAACATTATACTTGGCAAGAAGTGATATGAATCTCTTCAACAGGATTACTTGCAATATGCTGCATGGGTTCTAATGGCTGTTTTATTTTCCTTTAGTGGCTGCTGATGTGGGACTTTTCTTGATACGCCAAATGTAGAATGTTCAGAGATTCTTATTCAGTGACAACACTGTCCAGTAGACAATCTTAAAATTACTTATACTGAAGGCTAATATAAACAACATCTGATACAGTATCCCTTCAGTTTTATCAAGATGTGAATTATTGGTGACTGATTTCAGGGAGTGAAATACCATTTGTAGTAGCTTATGGCTCTTACAGTGTGTTGCTAGGAAGATGGGCAAAAATGTAGAATTAGATAATGTCTTAACAGAATAGCATATCCTTTTTTTTTTCCCACAAGAATAAAAGTTGCCTCATGAAATACTTCATTCCAAACAGAATTCCTATGCCATTTCCAATTAATGTTGAGGGTGGATGTAGGAATAATCCTTCTAATGGGGGAATAAATATTAGTGCCTTAAAAGACTAAATTTCAGTAGGCTGTAAGCATGTCCCAGCTATATCAAAGATAAATAAAACTTTTAATTATTTACTTTACATAGGAATATAGAATACCTGTGACTTGAGCATTCCAGTTTAAAGGTAAATTTCCCTAGAACAACTGTCCCTTAGTGATGTTGTTTTAGAGTGAGGAGTACGGTACAGCGATGTTCAGCCACAAACTGAAGCTTTGGCTTGCTTGCCTTTTGTTCTGGCCTGCAAAGACCAACCATAAAACTAGTGATATAATTCAGTTCACTCCCTGTATAAAAAGGCAGCAACTCACATGTATACTTGAAATACTGATGTTTGGGAAATCCTGATGTTTTTGTTATTCAAACGGTTCTTAAAATTCATTGCAATTAATTTCAGGAGCTTGGGTTGTTGTTTTTTTTTTCTTTATTACCCTCCTGTATGTCTGCTTGCTGAGGGAGCAGTTCAGTCGTTCAGAGGATCTGCTGATTTGATCCTAGTCAGGATTGCTGTAATCCTGGGACCACAGGCTACACCTTTTTTTTCTATCCCTTCTCCCCTTCGTGGCTTCAGGTTCGTGTCACCTGCAGTGAACTGGTTAAGGAAATCTATTCAGCCAAATAGTTCAGGGTTTTTTGGTTTTTTTTCCCTTGGCTGGGTCAGCCACGTGATCTGAGTATCAAAGGTACGTCATCTCCAACGCAGGCTGACTTGAGCACCTGTGAAAATAAACCCACAGGAGAAATGGAAGTAGAGATAAAATCAAGTGGTGGAGGTAGCACATGATGCATAGCTTCTGATGATATCCCCTGATCATCAGTTTTGGGATAATCTGTAGTACTGTCTTACTAGCTCTGACTTGACTGGAATTTGGCACCCAATACAAAAATAGCATTGATAGCAGATAATAGTCACGGCAGTGGGACTTGAATTATGAAGCAAATTAAGTGCATTTCAGTTGGAAACTTGAGGTGTACAGTGTTGCTTTCTTGTGTTCTTCTAGTTTGAATGGCATTGTTTCTATTGTGCTGCATAGAAAACTCAAATTGCTACAGAGTGCAGAGGTTACTCACCAGTACTGTATCTTGAGTTCATTAGCTTTTGGTTTTCTAAACAAAAATAAGACAATCAGCTCAGGTTTATGAAAACAGCAGTGAGCAGCCAGTTTTCAGCAACAGTATGTGTGTGAGTTAGATGGTATATCCTTGGCCTTATTGTGAAATCACTTAAATCTGTCCTTTCCCTAAGAACTATTTTACTACATGTATTTGTTAAAAAAAATCCATGAGCTTGTGTTCTGTGCTTTGAAGTGAACAAAATACTCTTTTGAAATATGATGGTTTGCCTTCAGCTCAACAAAGCAAACTATACCTAGTATACAACTTTTGTCCTCAAAGGGCTCTTTTGGCAAACTTGCAGAAAAGTCCTACACTTCATAGCATGGAAAACATTGCCACAAAGAAGTTGCTCTGTAAAATGTTGCTGAAATGCTTATTCATCAGCTTTGCTAATCCTGATTTAGGTTGCTGATAAAGTATGCTGGTAAAGCAAACTAAAAATAATGTTTAAAGTGCCTTAAAATTGCTTACTTGTTTGCCTCAAATTTTGTTTAAAGGGTAGAATGGATACCTTGCCTTAGTTACTAAATTTGTTGTGGTGCCAGCAATTGCTATTTTCCAAGACTTTAGGAAACCCAGGATCTCTGGCATGTAGAAATGCCTCTCTGAAAAACTCAAGTTTGTGCTGTATTTCTGGAAGGCCTGCACTACACACCTCTTGCTCATTAGCCTCGCCTGCAAGGTGTAATTCCACAGTTCAGAGTTGTGGCTTGAATTGTTTCCCTTTTAGTTGTTTGGGGGGAGGGGAGGCTGGGTTATACATCTTCACCATGTGCTTGGCTGCCTCACTGTCGAAAGTGATTACTCCTTTGTGAAATGCAGTATCAGCTGATGTGTGCTGTGTACTAGCAAAAAAACCTGAAGTAACAACTTGCAGTTTTTCTTGGCCTTGTGTTTTGAAGTGGAAGGTAGCTCATAGATCTGTAGTTGTACTTGCCCCTAAATCGGTTTTAGGCACTGAATCGTAGTGACTCTTCAAGTTATCTGGCTTTTTCTTGAAGCCAACTTGTGCAAATATCAAGCTGTTACCTTAAGAATGTTCTCTGCAAGTGTTGCTGTAAAAGTTTGTATCTTGTCTTCAGTGGAAGAAAACTGAAGCAGTTGTAATCGCAAAACCAAATTGATAAATAAAATCTGTTGAATGGAATTTTACCTGTGAACTTTCTTTAATGTGAGCAGTCCCCAAGAGGAATGTCTGCTTGGTGACTGGGACATGAGGTGTTTCCCATGGGAATTGAGAAATACTGAGGGAAGGAGGAAGAGTGCAAGGTTTGAAGACTTAGTTCCCCTCAAAACAGCATTAACTTTGTATTTAACAGTACTGATTCAGATTTAGAATTATCTCAAAAAGAATTTTTATTCAGGTCATGTTTTTCCATGTTAACTTAACTCTTGTTTTCTGCTTGGAGCCAAAGAGGAGCAATGTATGCACTGTTACACCTGTAACAACCTGTGAGGCTTAATACTCCTCTTTCTAAGTAAAGTTTGTAATACTGGATGTCAGGTGGAAGAGGGGCTGGTGTCTGTGTTTGCACAGAGGCTGTTAGAATTTTCATGAAAAAGCTCTTGCTCTGAGCCTTATTTCTTTTCTGATTGCATAGAACTATGGAGTGGTTGCTGTTGGCAGGCACTTTGAGGATCATCTGGTTTCAATTCTCCTGCCCTGGGCAGGAGCACCTTCCACTGGACCAGGTTGCTCCAAGGCCAGGTTGGATGAAGCTTTAACATATCCAGGGATGGGATATCTACAGCTGCTCTGGGCAACCTCTAGACTCACTCCTGCAGGTCTGCAGGATGCAGTACTCAAGGTGGGTTCTCACAAGAGCAGCGTGGAGAGCAAGAATCACCTTCCATGACCTGCTGATCACACTTCCCTTGATGCACCCCAGGACACAGTTGTCGTTCAGGGATGTGAGTGCACATTGCCAGCTCATTGACCAAAACATCCAAGTCCTTCTGCTCAGGGCTGCTCTCAGTCCATGCACTGCCCAGCTGTATTTTTG